AGATAGATAGATAGGTAGTTAGATAGATAGATAGATAGATAGATAGGTAGATAGATAGATAGATAGATAGATTAGATAGATAGATAGATAGATAGATTAGATAGATAGATAGATAGATAGATTAGATAGATAGATAGATAGATAGATTAGATAGATAGATAGATAGATAGATTAGATAGATAGATAGATAGATAGATTAGATAGATAGATAGATAGATAGATTAGATAGATAGATAGATAGATAGATTAGATAGATAGATAGATAGATAGATTAGATAGATAGATAGATAGATAGATTAGATTGATAGATAGATAGATAGATAGATAGATGGATAGGTGGGCTGACAGATATAAATAGATAGATAGATAGGTAGATAGACTTAAGCATCCAGAAATAAGAGCCGGTTGCTGTTTTCCGCTCTGGTTGTAAATTCAGTCCAGTTCAGTTAAATTTTTGAGCTCAAAGAACACGCATTAAGTGCAGTGTTTACAGCTGCTACAGCGGTGTTCATCGAGGATTCGGAGAATACGGAAGCGCAACCATATGTAGCAGGCTAAGCTGTGCATGCATGACAAATAGGTACGTTTGCCTAATATGCCTCGCACTGTAGTTATGTGAAATTCGCACGCATTCCACAATGATTTTCGCTTCACAATGGCGAAGGTTTATTTTATGTAACGTATCCATAGTTTGGGTTTGATAATTGGTAATTCGACGCGTTCCGACTTCTGTGTCAATAATCCGGCAATACATGCCGGCTTCGAATTCCCCAGCAGAGTGCCCTTCAGCCTCTTGATATTTTCTTCCACCAAGGTTGAAGTATGTGTGCTTGCAGAGGTTCAAAAGATTTCACTGACTTTCACACTTCATGCTTTCTGATGAAGTTGGGTTACTCTGAATCTATTCGGTCCCTGTTTCATGGAGCTCGTGTCTGAATAGTGTCGTGCGGTCAAACTAGATTATGATGTCATCGTCCTATATGCTGCCGTTCTGTAGCTTATTTCGAAACTGACCAGGGTTGTTTGACTATGTGCACAGAAATCACTTGTTAGTCCCCGCCATAGGTCTTTCGCCGAAATGTTATTTGGAGTTCCTGATAGTGAGCGCAATGGAAACCGGTGTATAACTTTACTACTTTCGAGCAAACGCTGGCGTCGATGGCTTTGATTTTCAGTCGTTCTCGGTTGAGTATCTTGTGTAGTTTTACGGGTTACTTGTTGATCCGATCGAAAATGTTTGGAGAAAGATCTTGACAGACAGGACTGTATGGTCGTGTCAATTTGCACTCATTTCGCCATTCTTCACGTTGCCGCAGTTCGTTCGCTGCTATTAATAACGGTGATATGTGGTACTTTGTTCTCAAAGCACCGTACTCTCGTCCGGAAATCGCTTACATCTTTCTTCTCCGTGTGATAACCTGCAGAAAGAACTCTTAGATCTACAGTTGAATCTCTTCGAGCACTCTGTTCACTTTGAGGGAATATCTGAAGTGATTAATTAACCTTCAAGTATGTCTCTTCGAATCTGAAGTTGAGTTTTCTGTTAGATGTTCTTGTTCAACTGTACTGAGTGCGAGGCTCGAGAGTACCTTAATCCAATCATCGTGCTTGGGCGAGATGGACCAAGTGGTTAGAGAGCGAATTTAGTGGCCGGAAGGTCCGTGATTGGAACCCGACCTCTGCGTCTCGACTTCCTCTGTCTAGGCTCAGGCGGCCTGACAGTATCCAAGCCGTCGTCCCTCATCTGTGTGGCATGGCATCCAGGCCGTGAAATGGTCTGAACGATTTATTATTTTTTTTACTTGTTGTACTTATTGCTTTGCGTGGATTTGTTAGATATGGTTATCAGCTCCGCTGCATGTTGGACCCTCTTTTTTTATTTACCCTCCGCTCAATTAATTTGTCACCCACCAGGAATTGTGCGTCGTTGGCAGAGAGACAGTTTGTCTAAATCTAGCCGGTAGCTTGTTCTAAGG